ACTTCACAAAATGGCACTAAACTGAACGATAGCAGCTTCTTTGCAGGTTTCTTACTCAAAAAGCCATGTACCCTTGGGGAAACCCTTGTCCTTCCATGTGCCTGGTGTCTTGCCATCTCTCATCCTCAAGGCAGGAGAAATGACCAGGAATTTGGAAGTCCACAGAAATACAGAAGGACTCTTAGTCATCTGACGGTCATTCTCCGTGAACTGCCAAGTCCTCCACACCTACCTAGTTACCTACTGACCGACTCACCACAAATCAGTCAGACTACACCAGAAGTGACACCACCCGATCTGCTGTCAACTAATCTATTACAGCAGAAATTACAGTTTCAAGACAGAAAACACAACACAATCCACCAGAACCACAAAAAGCCAACCAGAAGAAACATGGTACAAAAAACAAAGGCTCCTACCAAAACCCTAAAAAGACAGAGAAGCTAAGAAATGACCCTCCAGAAAAAAAACCCACAGACAACCCAGGAACTCAGGGGCCAACACACCCAGATTCTGTCCAGAAAAAAAACAAAAAACACAAAAACAAACAACAAAAAAATCAAACCATGCTTTACTCCTTATTCACTTAAACTCTGGCATACATAACTGAAAAGGAGGGATGGGGTTTCCTTTGTCCCCATTCCCAGGATGCCACAAGAGAGACCCGCAACCCCAAATCAGTTGTTTGATGTGGACGCCTTGTATGAGCTGCAGGCGTGGGTCAGGATGGCTGTGAGGAGCAAGTAAGCCATTCTGTGGTGCCCCCAGCACTGGCACAAAGCAGAGCCGGAGACAATGGGGGACAGCCAAGGGCAGGGGCAGCTGGTGCTGGGGCTCGTCAGGGTGCAGCACCCACAGAAACGCCCAGCTCCTTGACCCTCAACCCTGGGCTGCAGCACAGAGTGGCACCACCCGGGGCTTTGCTGGGAAAAATCAGGCAGGAGTGACCCACCTTTGAAGTCCTGCAGCCCAGCACTGTCTTTTCTTTCTCCATCTCTCTGCCCCTCTGCCCAACCCAGTTTTCCTCCATCTCTGTCCTGCTCCTTGTCACATATTTTTTCCTGTCTGTCACTTTGTCCTGTCTCCCTATCCCCTTTCTTCTCTCTATCACCCTGTCCTACTCCCTGTTCCTGTTTTTCTCTGACAATCCATGTCCTTGCCTTTCCCCGTTTGTCCCCCGTCCTTCTTCCTGTCTCTTTTTTCTTTCTCTACCCCTCTCTCCCTGCTGCTTCTTTATCTACCTTTGTCCTGCTCACTCACCCTTCTTTTCCTCTTGCTGTCCCTCTGTCCTGCGTCCTCTCCCATAATTTCTGTCTTCTCTGTCCCACTCACTGCCTGTCCCATTGTTTCTTGCTATATCCCCCTGTCCAGCTGGCTCTCCCTTCTTTCCCTTCTCTATTCCTCTGTCCTGCTTCTCGACCTTTCTTTCCCCTTCCTCCATCTCTGTCCTCCAGCCCACTGCTGTTATTTTCCCTCTTGGTCTCTTTGTCCTCATCTGACCCTCTCTTTATTTCTTAGTCCTCTCTCTCCTGTTCACTCTCCTTTTTTTCTGTGTTTTTATATCCCTTTCCCTCTCCCCACATTTTGCTACCCTGGCTTTCTTCTTCTCTCTCCCCTTCTCTCTCTCTTTATGCTGCTCCCCAACCCTATTTTTTCTTCCCTCATCACTCTGCAAAACTCCTTGTCTCTATTTTTCTTGATCTCTCAATCTCTCTGGCCTTTTCCCTGCACTTTTCTTTCTCTCCTGGTGCCTCAGCCTTTTCCCCCATCTGATTTTTCTCTTTCTAGTCCTTCTCCCCATCAGTTTAACCTGAATGACCGGGTGTCCCTGTGCTCTGGTATTTACCAGGCATTGCCCTAGGAAAGATCTGTGTCTTTAGGGCCAGGGATCCTTTGGGAGATGATCTCCTCAGGTGGAGCTGGGTGTAGTTAAAGCAGAGGATGCTCTCAGCTGGTGCTCTGTGCATCTTGTTGAAAGAGGAAGCTTTGGGCCTTATTTTGTGGGCAGGTTTCTCCTGCTGTGCTTATTGCTCCTAGAGAGGCTGCAGAGGAGAGGTGTTGGGGTCTGCAGGGGTGGGTGGGACCTGCTGTGATTCCTTGTTAAGTGTCAACTGGACTTACCTTAGTGGACCTGAGTGGAACAACACTGACTGCGTGTGGTTTTGCTTCCTCAGCTCCAGTTCCAACAGACGTGCTTTCCGCTAATAAACGAGCCCCTGAGCTATTTTCCAGATGTCAGTGGCTGCCAGTTAGAGAAGGCTGCCACTTACTCAGGTAACAGTGCGGTTGGTCTGGGATCAGCAACCCCATCATTTGCATGATGGGGTTTGCATGAACATTTTCTGGTCTTGCCACTTCCAAGGCCACCTATTTTCTGGAAATTTTTAAGAGTTAATACTGAACAGCTCATGGATTCGTGGGCTCCATGTAACGTGAGAGAGAACCCTGCTTTTTTGCTGTTGTTTTCTAATACGCTCTGAACTTTGGTAAGCAAGAGGTAGAGGGGTTGCAAGAGCCTGTTGTTTGAGAACAGCATGTTCCTGTAGCCTGGCTGTCTCTGTATTGTGGAGGTTTCCTACCCGCAGTATGATTTTACTGGGCTGTGAGGCTGTATTGGAGTAGCCAGAGGTTGGAAGTGTTGTCTTTAAAGGTAATGATGCCTGAAAAAAACAGTAACAAGTAAAGGCACTTGCTATGGGCTGTTTTATGCAGTCTTCGTACAGAGCTTTTGATATTGATTGGTTTCCTGCCCTACCTGGAGTACTGCGTCCAGTTCTGGAGCCCCCATCACAAGAGAGACCTGGAGCAGCTAGAACAAGTCCAGAGGAGGCCACCAGGATGATACCAGGGCTGGAGCAGCTCTGCTGTGAGGACAGGCTGAGAGAGTTGGGGCTGTTCAGCCTGGAGAAGAGAAGGCTCCAGGGAGATCTTAGAGCGGCCTCCCAGTACCTGAAGGGGCTCCAAGAAAGCTGGGGAAGGACTTTTTATAAGGGCAGTTAATGACAAAACAAGGGGAAATGGGTTTAAGCTGAAAGAGGGGAGGTTTAGATGAGATATTAGGAAGAAGTTCTTCACTGTGAGGGTGGTCAGACACTGGAACAGGTTGCCCAAGGAAGTTGTGGCTGCTCCTCCCTGGAAGTGTTGAAGGCCAGGTTGGATGAGGCTTTGAGCAACCTGGTCTAGTGGAAGGTGTCCCTGCTGATGGCAGGGGGGTTGGAATCATTCTATGATTCTATGATATTCTTAGGAAGCAATTTATTCACCTGCTCACCAGAGACGTTATTGTTCTAGTCTGTTTTAAGAGCCAGGGATTGTGCTGGTACTTACCTTATTTTGTACTGAAATCGTTAAACCTTTCTACTGAAATATGTCTTATTACAATATTTAAATTCTGTATTGATATTTCTGCTTGCCAACTGCTGTGATTTGGTAGCCTTACACCTTTACAGGGCCGTGTCTGAGTGCCATGAATGAACAGGAAGCAGATTTTCCCTAAAACCACATAATTTCGCAGCGGCTGAACCACACAAGTCACCCGAATCGGACTTCTCCAGTCTTCAAATAAAGCGCCAGCTCAACCCAGATATCAAAAGCACTCTCAGAAAGCAGGTGCTCCAGAGAATTGACTCCACTTTTGCAAGGCTTCTGTCTGTCTGTAGGATCTCTACATTTGCTACCACACTAACCTCCCGGTCTGCATGCTGAGGATTAATGTATGCACACTATACATTCCGTATCTCAGGTAGCTGTACTACGATAGCGCTATGGCTTTCCTACTGATAAGTTTAATTTCTGATTTTATCTCATTTTCTGCCTAATGTCAAAGATGGGATGCACAGAGGATGGGTGACCAACTCCAAGCTGTTGCTTATCTACTGAATCTTACGCGCGTGGTCGCCAGCTCACAACGTGTAAGACAAAAAGGTCCGAAGAAAACGCCGTCGTTTGAGAAAAACTGCGCGCTCGGGACTTTTCTTGATTCCAACTAATTACCACTTATTGGGGAAAAAGAGAAAATGAAAGCAAATTAGCAAGAGAAATATCACAGGACTAAATTAAAAATATAAACCAAGAGTATCTCGCCAAAAGCCCATCAAATGAAGAGAGGTTTGTGTGCGAGGACAGTGACACCTTGTGGGGTTTTACAGGCGTGAGTTCAGAGGGACAGAGCAAACTAGTCTGCCAGGTTGTATAATTAAAACAAACACTACTTCAGTAGTTCATTTAATACATATACCATTAATAATATTTGGTAGAAATTAGGCTTTATTGCTTTTATAATGCAGAATGAAAATTAAAAAAAAAAAAAAGGCAGATAAATAGCCAGTATGAAAAACTTTCAACACAAAAATGAATGGCCTGGAGTCCAACTAGCTCTGCAGCAGTTTCCTCTGCTCTCCCAGGAAGTAGTTGTATTTATCACTAAAATATTACTCATCCAACGTAATAATGGCGTAAGAGCAAAGTTGTAAGAGACTAAACAAGGAATTATGTTGTAAAGGCAGACAGTTAAACATAAAAATTACATCCACTGTAAGTGTTTTTTATAAAAACACGCAGGTAAATATTTAATGAATAAAGCATGGATAATGATGCTGTTCCTTTCCACTGATTAACAGGCTATGCCAAATTCGTTATACATACTTCTTGAGAAAGCAAAGTTATACCACAATGGAAAATTAAAAGAATATCTCCTACTTTCCAGTACAGTATGCAAGATTTGGACCCTTCAGATTGTATCAGAGTATATGAGTGTCTGGAACAAATCTTCAACTGCTGTAAAGCGTCATAACTCAGCCGAGACACTCAACTCTGACAGTTCACAACAAGCAAAAATGGTTTGATTTTTTTTTTTCCTTTTTTTTTTTTAAACAAGTTTGCACCAAAACTAAGTTATAAAAACGTAACATGTACAACTTGGAAGATGATAGATTTTCCTACCATAATGTTCATGTGTTTGTCTTAATTTCTTTTACCTGAGTAACCTAAGTAAACAGATTACAAGGCAATTTAAACATATTAGCTAATACAAGGTTTACTGGACTTCTCATATATAGAAATGTACTTTGACACTATTTGCAGCTTTACAAATACAAAATGAATAAGAATTTGAAAACATATTTACTGAGCAGCCACGTCTTTGATATCTGTACAGATCAATAGGTGCAGTGGAATTATGTACAGAATTTAGCATTTAATTTTTAAACAGCTTTTGTGCAACCTGGCTGTCATGTGCATTTAAAGAACTGCTGTCAACGTCACGGATCTGTAATATTCACTGGTGCCAGAAACTGAGAGTACAGCATAGGACAACAGCTCCTAAAATAATACTGTGCTATGCAGACATCTGTACATAATCCAAATAGTGCATATTACTCAATGTCTGATGAGGAATAACAGCTGCTAATACAGACACGGGCATTTACAGGTATTAATTAGGTTTGTTATAGTAGAGTATGGACGAATCAACTTTTCCATATATAAACATGAAAGGAAAGGACTTGAATTAGGAAGTTATGTAATAATTAAAGAAGGGAAGTTATGTAATAAATAACGAAACTTTCAATTAAACTGGCAGAAGATCAGCACAGTAGGAAAAAATCATTTACAGTAGGAAAAAATCATTTACAGTAGCAACGAAATCATTCAGAAGCTTTGTTAAATCAAAGGTAATTCAGTTTTATTTTAGAATCATAGCAACTGAAAGTAAAAAAAAAAAAAAAATCAACGTGAAGAATATTTAGTTTATCTCTGATAGTCTTGTTAGTGTACTTCTGTGTTATTGTACCTGTCAGATGTTTCCTCCTCTTTTTGTGCTCTATTCATTCTATCACTCTTGATATATATATATTTTTTTTTTAAATTTCTTTAGTCCAACATAAATCCGTAGACACTAAAGCACAGTGAATGTGCAATTTGCAGACTAGTGTTAAGTGAAAAACCATAGGAATATAATTATTTTTATGAGGTAAGCTTGGAGTAACTCGGAGGAGAAAATTTGCGCTTCAAGTACTTGAGAATGTAAAGTGGAAGACAGCTTACAACAGTGATTGCTGACACTTTCCACAGGAAGGTCACAGTTGTGATAAAGGCAACATCTGCAGAAACAAAAAGTGCAAGTAAGTCATGGGAGCTGATAACACAGAGACTGGAACTTCCATAGTGTAAGGTCAATAAAACTCTCTTAGTTGTTTGCTTAGGCAAACTTTTGCTCTTGAAGCATGCAAAATTTTTTTTTTAAAAAAGAAAAATCAACAGAAACAGAAAGTTAACCTCAACATTTTGCTTTTGCCAACTGTTTTCTTTAGACAGGAAATTCCGAGTTCCTTTATGGTTCCTACACTGTTTTCCAGCACAAAATAATTTGAGGGGAAACAGACTCTCAGTTTAAAAGCAAGACTTTCTTACAATAAAAAAGTAAGCCAGCTTATTTTTCTACTAATACAAATGATTCTTACCCCGTATAATACAAGTTCCCAACCAGAAATTCTGCTACCCTTTTGGATCCTTTATTCACATTTAGATTATTTTTTCTCTGAAACAGTCACGACAACTAGACTGAACGATTCTTAAAAACTCAGCGATTAAATTAGAGCCCAAAGATGTAAATGAAAGCAATGTAATTATATTGCCACAAGCCACGGTGAAAAGCTATTTTTTGTGACAAATGTTAACAAGAACGGTGACACTCTACACTTGCTACTGAATTTTTTTTTTACAGTATTTGCAATGGTGAGGTCATGTTTAATTACCATTGAAAGACACCAGAACCCAGGTAAACTGAAGAATTGGGGTTTTTTGGCTTTTTTCCATTATTTACATTGCTACTCTTTAATGAATTTTAAAAGACTTAAAAAAAAACCCAAACAAACTTGAAGGAAAGTTAAACTTCACCTACCTAAGAAAGCTCCAAAAGACACTCTGCCTATACCTGTTTCACAAAGAGGGAGAATGAAAATGAAAGTACAGATTTACAGAAAACATGAGAGTTACATGAAAAAAACCCAAACAGGTTAGCTACCAAAAAGAAAACGAGAAAATGTTAGCAGCATTAACTTCAATATTATTGCCTTTCACATGACAATCAGAATATTTTCAAGAGCAATTAAACCAAAACATTTTGAAAATATAGATATTTTCTATTTGGTCATGTTTTAAGGTTGTAAGCAGGTAGGCAGTTTTCTTACATTTGATTTCAAGGTATAATTTCCTGTATAAACTGTTTAAACATGAATGAAAATTTCCTGCAGAAATGCTTTCCTGCTCCAACTTTACTCATTAAAAATATTTGGTACATTAGATTTCAATGTAGAAAACGATTATACAGTTCTAGCCTAAGCCTGCTTAGACATCCTAAAAGCCTCTGTTAACATAGAGAGATATGCTTAATTGTGTGCAATTAATTCAGAAACCTACAAACTGATTTACTTCCATGAGCCAGAACTGTAGAGCGGCATGAAATATTTTTGTCTTTCCAATTTGAGTGCCCTGTCATACTTAAATCATTCCTTTGAGAGGAGATGATGCTGATCAGTAACATCATGGAAAGAAACGGTTTATTTGCCGATGAAGTCGAGCGTTACTGGGCTGGATTGTTTTCCCTGATACGTGGAAGTTGTTCTCCACCTTGAACTATAAACCGTAACTTCGGTTTATCCTGCGTTACGTGCACAACAAAAGGCTCCCTCCAATACTGACATGACAGATTAAATAAGAGTGAAGCAGTAAGCAGAAGTGAGACTAACTGAAATGTATTTTCTCAGATCTTTGCAAAAGGCCATGGAATTGCAGGTTTTTCAGTACCCTTAAAAATGAAAAAAAATAAAAATACCTTTAAAAATTAAAAAAGCCAGAAGTCCCCAGGTTGCAAGAAGCCACGCAACCACTCACTTCCTCAGCTACTTGGGCTTCTCGAGGAAATACATGAGGACAGTAAAGCACTCCCCTTTACAGAAAGGTTTGCAAGAAACAAAGTTCCCCGCAGTTCTTACACACCTGTGACCACCACCAAAAGGTGTTTCTCCCTGAACAAGGATGGAAGAACTGGCTGTCATCCATACGGAAGAGTTACAAAGGTGAAGCAGCAAATTCTGCTTCATCAAGTTCCTGGAAGTTTGGACTAAAGAGCCAGCACCTGTATCTGTTCTTCCTCATTCCTTTCATTTGTAATCTGGCTGTGGAGGTTCAGGAATCGACCCAATAATCTCTATTAAAGAGTCTGTACATCAGTGTCAGAGAAAATAAAAAGGTACTCTGGCAAACCTGAAATAATGTACAAGACAAGTACCAAGCCCTGCAGGGTTGTTTCTTCATTGAAATTGGACTCCTGGGAAATCTGGGAAGTAAGAGAACACCTGGGACAGGCAGTGAAGCATTTCCTGACTGAAAAATATTTATATAATGTAAATACACTACCCGAGTGTTGAATACCTGGGAAAGCAGAACTATGAGACTCCTAGAAACTACCACAGAACATTTAATTCTGCTATGAGAAGTGACAATTGAAGATGGGCAACTTCTTACTCAGCACCTCCTGGAAAACAGAGAGAGGAGGAGCTGGATTCTCCTCCTTTGAGGTAGAATCAAAATTATTATATCTATTTCTGCAAAAGTTACACCTGTAAAATCACACTAAGACCGAGATAGTTTTTTTTACTGGATAATCTGACAGAAAAAGAAATATGTATTATTTTGATGCCCAGATCCTTGACTGTTAAGTTTTGCAGTTAGAAAGGTGTTCTTTCATCTTTTGAACTATGAAAAATCAGAACCTCAAGACACAGTACAGCATACTGCAATTTAAAGCAAAGGAAGCTTAATACAATTATGAATCAAGAATTCTTATATAAAGTATCTACCCTAATAGCCTTCCACCTCACTCTCTAGCAATACTTCAGCTCTTTTAAGCTTCTGGGTTGGATCTAATGAGGTCCACTTGGTCTGGCATACAAAATAATTCACCAGCTCCGTGAAAGATCCTGATTTTTTTAAAATCGTGCCCATCTCAATAGCGCCAATCTCAAATCCAATTTAAGGTATGGAGTTGGGACTGCCAAGATTGGATCGAGGATGGGAAAAGCATGGGTGGTTTGAGTCAAGTTCTCATCTAGATAAACCATACTCATGGGAATAAAGATTGTCAAACTCTAGGAGAAAAGGATAAGAGAATATTTTAACCCAACATTAATTAAGCCTAATTTCAACTCAGTCACGTTTCTTACGGAGAAAGCTGTATTTCACAAAGCAAAAAATCACCTGTTCTTAATTTAAAAAAAAAATATTAAAAATATTAAAAACAGAGTTCTTCACTAAAATACTTTTACTATTACTCACCAAAGTATTCATTTAGAAATGCAAGAGAGGCCACATAGCAGCCAAGACTGAGGAATTCAGCCACCACCATTAACCAGTGCCACGTTCGTATGGTCAGTGCAACCATCAAGAGCTCAGTCAAGATGAGGGCAGTGAAGGAAATGGCAACGACGTGTACAAATTCAGATTCAAAAAGCAGCAGCGCTCCGTACATCAGAATACCACCTAGGAAAGGCACACAAAGTTAACAACACACTAAGTTTTTACAACTGCACACTGAACTCTCGCTTGCTTATTATGAAAACTTGCCCAGTAATTATTTTTTTTTAAAATAAGTTAATAACATTGATCTTTCTAAAAGAACAGAAGTTATATTTACTGTACTTTGTGCCTGTGAAATAAAACAACCACAGCAAAGCCGTTAAGAAATAAAACTATTAGAAAATTAAACACCTTTTTAGTGCAATATATCCAATGAACTGTTAATTAACCTCATTTTGTCAAGTGCTGTAAATAAATGAGATATTGTTGAAAGTGTAATTACTTTTAACTAATTACATAATTCAGATGGTTTTAAGAGCATTTCTGTCATTCTATGAGAGAAAACTACTGTGTAAACACAGGCAATGTGATAAGGGCTCGTTAAATCTTTTCTGGATTAGCACTTAATTTAAAACACCTCCCTTTTTAGGTGACATGCATCAATAAGATAGCAATCCACGCCGTGTTTTGAATAAGCACACTACAGGAATATCAATTTATGAGATAAACAGAAAGCAATACATATAACTGCTGATGAAATGTTAAGCTTTGGGAATTCAACCTGCAGCTGAAAAGCAATATTGCTAATAAATAGCAGACAAAAATTCTCAGCTCAGTAAAACTAGGACTCTCTCCTACCTTGGTAAATACTGATTAAAACCCAGATGAGGAAGGTCTTAAATGACAAAGATCTTCCCTAAGGGAAACAAGTGAGAGGACAGTTAAACACAACTTCAAAAATATGTATCTACTCAGTTCATATATTTTTAATAGTTTATCACTAGAGAGGCATCTTACAAGTGGAATAAACAGTCTTTGAAGTTATAGAGGCTAAAAAGCTTATTTTTATGATTCTTCATTGCAAACTCATCTAGAAATCGCACCAAGTCTAAATTTAGTTAAGGCCTTAAAGATACTTCACCTTGTAATGCTCTATCCCCACTCAGAGGGATAATTCCAGTAAAATTAGGGGGTTTTTTATTTAAAATGTTTTTATGTCTGTTTTGTAGAATGTAGTCTTCAAGAAAAACAGCACCGTGCATCTACTGACATAACCTCAAGTAAAACTGCAGTTACTAGTCACTTCTAAATGCTGGATAAACTCTTTGCATTCATACAGTAAATACATGACTATTTTAAGTTTTCAGCAAGTCAGGATTATCAAATACATTTTAAATCTTCTTGTGAATGTTATGGATTGAAGCATACGCAGAGATCAAAAAATAAACGCTGTACGTGTGCACATGACTTTCCTTTTGTGAGGGCACTGCTGAAATATGTTGGAATTGCAGAGTTGAAAGGACACACATTTAAAAGGATAAAACGGCAACCAAAGCAGTCATTTGGGCTCAAAAAAGTGATCAGTGGAACAGGGAAGAACCAGCACTTTGGAAAGAAATACGCTTCATGGCTGAAGTGAATTCATTCATCAATTAACTCTATTACTTCGGTATAGGCTAACACATTTTCTTGGATAGAAAGAGTTCATGGCAAGGTGCTAAGGACATTTTAATAAGTCTGTATATAGTCTAGAATGCTGGTGACAGATTGAACAATGGGAAAAAATTCTCATACAAAAAAAAAAGAAACATTAGATTATTTTTTTTTCTCCTGTGAGTGCCTACTCATTTTCCTTTGACTACTGGACATCACTTCCACCTTCGACCACAGCTCCCAATTATAGAGATTTGTGAAATAAGAATGAGCTTTGGTTTTGGTTCACCTTTCTGGAAGTAGAAGGGGTAAGCCACTCACATCTGGAATCCTGTGTCCAGTTCTGGGCCCCACAGTTCAGGAAGGACAGGGAACTGCTGGAGAGAGTCCAGCACAGAGCCACCAAGATGATGAAGGGAGGGGAGCATCTCCCTGCTGAGGAAAGGCTGAGGGAGCTGGGGCTCTTTAGCTTGGAGAAGAGGAGACTGAGGGGAGACCTCATTAATGTTTATAAATATGTAAAGGGTGAATGTCAGGAGGATGGAGCCAGGCTCTTCTCAGAGATGCCCAATGGTAGGACAAGGGGCAATGGGTGTGAGCTGGAACACAGGAGGTTCCACTTAAACTTGAGAAGGAACTTCTTTACAGTGAGGGTGCCAGAGCCCTGGGACAGGCTGCCCAGGGAGGGTGTGGAGTCTCCTTCTCTGGAGACATTCAAAACCCGCCTGGACACCTTCCTGTGTGATCTCATTGAGGTTCCTGCTCTGGCAGGGGGATTGGACTGGATGATCTTTTGAGGTCCCTTCCAATCCCCAACATTCTGCGATTCTGTGACCCCGAGCCTCCAGCTGCACAACAGGCTGTGAATCATTTCCAGATGAAAGCAGGGAGCCTTCTTACTTGTACTTCCTTTCAAATTTTCATCAGCTTTTCTAGCTATGACTCCTTAAGAGCCACAGCAATCCTGAGTCAGTGTGTCCTTCTGGGTCTGTGGCCACCTGGCCGATTTTCTCTTCCCCTTGCACCACAGCAAGAGTCTGGCAATGACTTGTGCCAGGACATCTTATTTGTTTCAAAATCTAAAAAGCATTTTCATCACTAGCACATCCCAGAAAAGAAAACAATTCTCAGGAACACAGTTGGAGTCCAACACGTTTTTGAACGATGGTAGCTGAAAAGCATCAGTAGAGATTTGCATTCTGAGTCCGTAATTTGAAAACCAATGTGCAGAAATTCGTAGGCTTCACGGTGTCATGACTAAGGCAGCACGATCATAAACTGTTGTAATAAACACTCACAATAAGATTACCTTCTAATAGCGAAGTCAAAAGTAGCACATAAAAACCTTTTTGTACTACTAATCCATCAGCATTCACTGATCATCATCTGCCCCAGACAATGCACTGGACTGTACTCTCCAGTTTCTCCACATTCTCTGGGTTTTTTTTTGTCTTCTGAAGAGAATTATTTGGGTTCTAGTTATTTAATATTCACAGAGGTACAACATAAGCTGGCAAAGCCAGTGATTCAGCATCTCCAAGAACTGTCATTTCAGTTCAAACAAAAAAAACCTTAGCCTGTATTCATCTACCCATCCTGGGCAGTTTCTGAGTATGCAAGGTCCCTTAGGAAGCTGCCCAGGGAGGTGGTTGACTCCCCATCCCTGGAGGTGTTTAAAAGATGGGTAGATGAGGTGCTCAGAGTTACAGTTTAGCAGTGGACAGGTACGGTTGGACTTGATGATCTCAAAGGTCTTTTCCAACCAAACGATTCTATGATTCTATGACTGGAGATAAGATGCTTCCATGTTCCATCAACAAGCTTCCCCAGGCAAGCTTACAACTGCCTTTAGCAGGTGTAATGCCATGCTTTTTTGAGATTAATCATAGGCTGAAATATCTGTAGTACTGTGTCCAGTTCTAGTATTGTGTCCAGTTCTGGAGCCCCAATCACAAGAGAGACCTGGAGCAGCCAGAATAAGTCCAGAGGAGGCCACCAGGATGATGCGAGGGCTGGAGCAGCTCTGCTGCGAGGACAGGCTGAGAGAGTTGGGGCTGTTCAGCCTGGAGAAGAGAAGGCTCCGGGGTGACCTTATACTGGCCTCTCAGTACCTGAAGGGGCTACAAGAAAGCTGGGGAAGGACTTTTCATAAGGGCAGTTAATGACAAAACAAGGGGAAATGGGTTTAAGCTGAAAGAGGGGAGGTTTAGATTGGATATTAGGAAGAAGTTCTTCACTGTGAGGGTGGTCAGACACTGGAACAGGTTGCCCAAGGAAGTTGTGGCTGCTCCTCCCTGGAAGTGTTGAAGGCCAGGCTGGATGAGGCTTTGAGCAACCTGGTCTAGTGGAAGGTGTCCCTGCTGATGGCAGGGGGGGTGGGACTGGATGATCTTTAAGGTCCCTTCCAACCCAAACCATTCGATGATTCTATGATTCTATCACAAAGAAACTTAAAAGATTCTGAAGAGGAGAGAGAATCAAGATCTCCAAGAGATAAGAAAAAAATTCTCCTAGACTAGCATAGCTAATAGCTCATTTAGTGAGACTAACAAGACAAAGGCTCTGAAAGTTTGGACCCTCTTTGACTACAGTGTGCTTGTGAACTTTTAGACACATCTTCGAAGAATCTACTATCCCTAAAAAGACCATCTGCTTCTGCCTCGGATCATCACTTTTCTAGCTGACAGTTTAAGATGGAGCAGAAACACTTTTCAAAAAAATTAAGAAAACAGAATCTACAGATTTGTTTCACTTTTGTGGGTAAAGAAATCACACGCTTTCATTGTCTGCAGGTATGTGCAAACACACAGAAAGTTATATCCACAGGTAATTCAGCTAAGATATGTGTGTTATCAGTATCTGTTACTTAAATAAAGTTGGCTTTTGGAGAAGTCAGAAGTAACTTCTGTGGGGGGTAAAAAACCCCCAAACCCTTTAATTTAATCTACCAGTTAAAAAGGAAAAAGAAGCTGTGAAAAAATAAGCATAAATAACTCCAGATCCGAGATCCTGGGGCCAGACTGAAAGCAACTTTTACATCAACATACCTTTGTGTTTGAATTATTTCAGTCCAACCATTGGTGACTTAACAAATGTATTAATAAAACTGAGTGGAACATTGGGTACCAGGGATTATTTTCACAGTACAAAAGTCTGCATTACATCAGTTGTGCATCTGTCTTGCATGGAATACCTTAAGAAAATGACTGTAAGAATTCCACTTTTGCACACCAGAGATTTCAGCACCTGTTCATATCTGAGGACATTCGTACCTTAGTGAGATCCTTATAAAGTTCTGGATATAGCAATGCCATTTCTGGCTTCACATCCTGATCCAACACTAGAGAGAAGACTGGAAACATAGTATATATGGTTGCATACCTAGGTGAAAGCAAAGCACATAAATCACCACTTTCGTACGATATGATTTTAAATCCATCTACTGAGTTCAGTTATTCTTTTTATCTAAGTGGAATTAAACTGGTTCTTCCACCCAGGACTGAGGCAGTTTACCCACACAGCTTTACACATGCAAACTGCTCTTGTGCTTCTGATACCTGCCAGCCATGAGAAGTTACAGAGCTTTTATACATTCCAAAACAGTCAATACATTTCTTTCTTCTCTATATACATCCTATCACCTGCTCCCGTACTCCCTGTGCACTTTGGACAACCAGTTCAAAGACCTGACATTTAAATTTATCCACAGATGATGGCACAAAAACTGAAGATAAAACAAGTTTTATGTTCTGGACATCATGTTATAGGCAGGTGGATGAACAAAAATTTTAACAGCTCTGTAAGTGGCTCTGGATTTTAGTGTGCACATGCCAGATGTATTCCTTAGTATTTATTTTCCTAGAACTTAGCACAACTATTTATAAACATTTTGGAGAGGTCTACAGGTTGCCTCTGCAGAGTCTGGTGTGATCAGACCTTGATTTGACTAGGATTTAAGTTCCTATCGATTTTAAGTTGTTACTGTTCACAAGGGGTATAAACAGAAGCTCTTAGGACAGAAGGGGCAGAGAGCAGGGACAAACACCAATATATGCACATCCTCAGCTGTGTGTGTCTTGGGGAACCCCATTACTAAAGCAGCTTCTGCAATGAGACCAGGGTGCACCTAATCCTGCATACCATCACCTGAATGGAAATGTACATGGCAGACTTGGGTACTGAACTCTCAAGAGGAAATATCACAGTAGCTTCAGCTCTGTTTTTAACAGAAAAAATCAGCAGTTCTCCCCGAGGCTTGTATGGCAATCTGTGTAACAGCTGGAAATGGTCCAGGAGATTTCCTCTATTGCTTTTACCCGATATGTGAAAGAGGTTGTAAGGTATCTTGTTGGTGCTTTAAGAGCCAAAGCTGCAAGCAGCTTCAGCCTTGAGCAATTAAGTTCTGATTTGGGGTGAAAAAATAGATTCATGAGAAAGAATGTAAGAAAACAAGATAAGAAACTTCTTATGTAACTAGTCAGAAGTCAAAAGAATGCCTCATGAACAGGTGGATTTATCCAATCAAGTATTGTAACCAGGCGTGTGAACAGTAGTTTATAGCCAATGAAGAGTTGTTTGTGTGTGTGTGTGTGTGTGTGTTAGCAGCTTAAGGGTATATAAGTGATCATGTAACCAATAATAAAGGTCTCCAGTAGAATTCACACTGAATCATGTGTGGAGTCCATGGGTGTACCCTCTTGGCAGTATCTCTCCTCAGAGAACCAGTAAGAAGGCTTTCCCCCCTCATATATCACATATTCAACCTACTTAATACTTTTCTTTGTAGACTCATTCCAGGTTTTGGAAGCATATTTATGATAAATGTATGAAAAATGTGGCAGACACCAACTACATGATGTTATATAATAAGTTTGTTTGCTATATTTATTACCAGATACTGTAACTGTTGGTTTTGACTTACCCTACCATTAGGAATCCTTGGTACAAGGGAACAGATGCAAAATAGAAGACTGATGAAAATACAGCCTACAAAAAGCAGATCATTACATATATATTTAATATAATTCTATATACAAAACATTACCATAAAGAAAAACATAACAACACTGGTTGATTATAGAATCATAGAACCACAGACTGGTTTGGGTTGGAAGGGACCTTAAAGCTCATCCAGTTCCAACCCCCCTGCCAGCAGCAGGGACACCTTCCACTAGACCAGGTTGCTCAAAGCCTCATCCAACCTGGCCTTGAACACTTCCAGGATGGGGGCAACCATTCTATGATTCTATGATTAAGATTTTGTGACATTTCAAAGACAGACATAGTGTTTTTAACTATTCAGATAACAAACTTTTAAATACCTGCATAGTTGAAATAATAAGGCCTCGATGCATGACAAATTGACCAAGTGCTGCTGATCTTTTGTAACTGTTTCGACCATGTACCATCAGCAGCCTACCTATGTGTTTAAACTGGGTGATAGAAAAGTCAGCTGCTAGGGAAGCTTGTTTTCCCTCCTAGAACAAAACAAAAATAATCCAAACATGAAACCCAGCGTTAAAGATGTGTTTTAAATTTCAAAATTCTAAGTGACAATTGATTTTAAAAGTCAAGTTTGCTCCTGCTTTGGAAATCAACCCTGCAATGAGAGACAAAGTACAATATTTTGTGTATATTATTGTAACAAGTAAGTTTGTCTATCCTGCTTCTTCCAGGTAAATGCTACACAGAAATAACTTCTAGTGTTTTCTGGTTTTCTTGCTTTTTTGTATTGAAAAAGATAAAGCATAGGGTAGCAAAGCAAAGCAAATATTAGTTCAGAGACTAAGCATTTTTATAATCTTACAGCATACTTTAATTAGAAATGATCAAGTCACTACTGTTTAAGAAAAAAGGTTCTAATCCCATGTTACTACACTACCATGTGGCACGTATTTGACAATGAAACTGTTAACATTACCTTGCCTTCAATTCCAATTCCACAGTCTGCTGCTTGGATCATGCTGACATCATTTCCTCCATCACCTGGAAAATGTCACTGCAATATTCAGCTGTTGAGAAGTTTTAGTCTCCTGGTTTTACAGTGTTTTAGAAACCTCTTACAGACCTTTACATTCTTACAATTAATCTATGGATTATGATTAATTACTTCAGCAATCAAGACATTTTCCAGTGGAATAAAGATAACCACACCTTTCTGAGGGAATGGCATTTCCTGCTACAGCTACATAATACCTGGCTGTTGATAAAAGAAGTCTCTTTGGTTTTCTTTCAACTGTTTCTCATTGGTGCCATCTACTGCCCACGTTTATTGCAGATTTTAGGGACTGCAAAGGAAGATGGTGCCAACGCTCACCTATTGCACACGTGCGTTTCCCAGTGTGGTGCTGTAACAGTTTCACAATATGAGCTTTTTGGGTGGGAGAACATCGGCAGCACACTACAGCAGGACACTGACAAGCCAGCTCTACAAATTCATGCTCGTAATACTTCAGACAAACCTAAGGAAAAAACAAAAATACACTCAGATTTAGTTACAATTAACAACTACTACAGGTAGTCTAACACCAGAACACAGTATAAAGAATTCTTTTATGAGGTTTTGCTTGCACAATATCCATCTATGAGAAAAAAGCTACGTTCTCCTGACTATGGCTTTATTATTTTAAACTGACACTCTCTTTCATTTACAGAGCTTAGGGGTTAAGAGAAGAGACAATATTAAAGCAGGCTACAAACAAACTCCATTCTGTTACCATACAGGAGACCAGAGAACCAATAACTTTTGCCCATCTGGAACATATATCCTCTAATTAGCACTCAGTGAAAAACAAAAGTATCTCTAAGGTCAACTTATGGGAAAATACTGGAAAAAAAGTTTAAGAGCATAAAGACAGCGATACTTGTTGAGCATAAGCACAGAGATAAAAGTAAATTGCCAGAAACCAAGCTCTCACCTCAAGTGAGTCCCCAGAGATCACCAAGGCACAGTCATGCTTCCTCCTAAAGGCATTTAGTTCTAAGTGAGCCTCTCCTCGAGTCGTAACCTTCAATAAAAAACTCTCACTTAAAGATTGTTATATTCTTAAAAAAACCCTGCCTACATAAATCAGGTTTTGAGAACTCATACCTAGAAGGTGTTGGTGTTTCAACAAGTGTTTTATACCAGTGGAAGTCCAATACCCATGGGACGTGACTACAAGCCTTGAATCTTATGGAGTGAAAAAATAATCCTCAAACAAGGGAAAATCTAGGTAGTCAATTAACTGGTTCCTCACCAAAGCAAACCAGGGCTAAAAAATTTAATCAATTAATGACGTTAAAATATCTTAAGTTCAAGCTGACCTGAGTCTTTCTATCTTGTCAAGGCTAGAAAAAAAAAATAGACATAAAAAACAAGCAAACCTCAAAACTTGTATTTATTAACCAGTAAAGTATGTTCTTAGAACAACACAAAATGTTTGTATTAATAGTTTCTTCAAATTGGGTAAGCAAACACAGATTTCAACAAGCATATAAAAATGCTCATTATAAAGTATTAATTTTTTTGGATCTTGCATGAGTATGCAAGCAGGATCAAGTGGCATAATATAAAGGAACTACATCATAGATTTCTTTTAATTTATGTAATTATTGTTTCAGAAAGGCCCAGCTGTGAAATGCAAAAAATGGTCAAAGGTGACCAAGTGGATTTGGGAAGGTTTGGAGCTAGAACACAGAACATGAAAAATATAAATTATAACCAGATTTTGAGGAGACTGGCAGTTTTGTTTTGTTTTGTTTTGGTTTTTTTCCAATAAAAGATCAATCTATTTCAGAGCTACCAGGAAAGACAAAGTTCCAAGCACAGAATAATACACAACCTCTGATTACATTTCTAATTTTGGCTCTGTCAGCACTTTGATTAAATAACTTTTGAAACAGCCAAGTCTTAATTACACTAAACGTGAACGTTTTGTCTTTGATTACCCAGAATCAGATGCCATCCAAAGACTTTTCTCCCTTCACATGGGCTCTATTACACATAAAATTTGAGTTACACTAAAAAGGACCTACAAACAGAAAAACTCACACACATGCCCCAGTTCAGATTATTTTTTCCTCCTTTCCCACAGTTAAAACATGTAAAGAGAAAGCTCCTCGTCTGCCAGTGATTGCGTTGGCCCATTAGAATCCTTCTGCACTACAGAGATGACGAGATGTCAGCGCACAACCGAGGAGCAGTAATTGCCCTCCCTGTTCTACCTTTCACCTAACAGAGGTGTTTGTCTTTAAATTTCTAAATATTTATGTTTTTAAATATTTATGTTTTTAAATTTCTAACTGAACAATGTATCAGTTAAATCTCATTACAAAATAAAGAAGCTGAGACTTCTAAGGATAAAAAGGAAGAGCGCTAAAGACAAAATGTATCTTTTTGGGGAAGCCAAAGCAGTAAATAATTTTTATTTACTAATTTATAACTCAAATAGAAGTGTTAAGAGAGCTTGGCATTTTCTTACATTCATCCAGTAGTTATTTCTTTGCAACAAATACAGCCACAGAAATAATTCTGTATAAATCCATTTTCTAACTAATTTAAAACTTTGCGTACTCAAAGTTAACACATTTTTATGTTGATCTCTTATTACTAGTCGAGGCAATGAAAATAAAAATCTGTCTCAACTAAATAGATTTTGCTCAAGAAGACTTAATTTGTGGTGTTACAACATGGAAAGGTCAACAAAAATTGATCTGAAGTTTTATCAGAAGCATTAATAATTTAATTGCAAATAGTAGTCTGCAGGGCCTAATTTGCCATTCTGATGTTTCAGAAGAAACTACATTTACATGTAAATTATATTCATATAATTATTTCTGTAGGTGCAAGTGGTTCATTTAGAACAAACACAGACATATTACGTCTGATCACACAGCATCAATCAATGTCTGGAAAATCTATTTTCGCTTGGCTTCAGCAGAGTTGATGCTATGCAAATATAACCAAAATGTACAGAGAAAGATATTCAGTTTACTTTTCTAATAACTATCTTCACCAGTCCGTTAATAAAATGCAAATATCTATTATGATATACACAAAAATTCAAATTTTCTCATACTGATTTGAACTACATCTATATGGAGGATGTTGGCATCACAGTTTAATTCTCAATTAAATCTGCTTGAGTCTGAAGAGTTCTACTAATGAAAATCCTAGAACAAGCGAGAACCACATTCTGGTAGCTTAAATTCCTGGATGCTCTTTCCTCCTGGCTCAGCTCCTTTCATAGAGCCTTCTCCATCGTTACTCAGAGCTACCTTACCATGTCCATCGTGTCAGTGAAGAGTGTTGAACCTGGGTCACCTGAACGTGACTACAAACACTTCCGTCTCGTATCAACAAACCTAGAAACACCCACCCTTAAACAAAGCTTTGTAACTCTACATCCTTGAGTAACAACCCAAGTACCACTCTCTTGACCATTATTACGACACTCAGTACTACAATCCATCAGTTTTCATCAAGCAGCCAACTGCTAATCAAATAAAATAACATTGTTATTAGCTGCCCTTTGATAAACCAACAAAAAAGTTGGAACTATACTTACAGGTCTGAAAATGTGAATATCTTGAGTCCTAGACACTAAGTGAGAACTTTTTGCGATGCAAGTCGCCGTCTCCAGTTTATCTCCTGTTAACATCCATATCTGCAAAATAATGTAAAAGTTTATTCCATTAGACATTAAGGTGACTGTTCTCCCAAATCTAAAGGACATATCTCTCCAACGTTTTTCTGGTACCTTTTGGGATTAGATAACCAGAGAAAACATACTGGTATGTGCATCTTGAACTACAATTAATGAGCTGTTTCTACTGCAATAACACACAAGGCAGAAAAGAACTGTCTACTTCAGGCAGCTCCATTCCCCTTCCCTTCTCATGAGGACCAATGTCTCAAATGACATGAAGACAAGGTGAAACTCTGGGGAATCCCACTAGCATAGCTGAAGAGCAGGGAAAGCAGAAAAGCCTTTCCCTATGGCACTGATACTACCTTGAGCAAAAGAGTGAGGATGCAGATGACTACAAGAGAGAGAACGTTTGTCAGCAGAATGATGCCACTCAACAGTCTGTCACCCTAGTGAGATTCTACCAGAAAGCAGCAGCCAAGCAATGAGACAGCGTATCCTGGAGGAAGAACTACAGTCCCAACGCTCCAAAGAGATCCTGCCCACCGCCCACACAGAACTGGGCTGCAGGCATTTAAGTTTAAGGACTAAAGTTGAGGATCCATCTGTTCTTCAAGTAAGACAACTCGCTCTCCCTCACTCCCTTAACACCAAGAAAGTTGAAGGACATCTGGATGAAACACCATCATCCCTTGACCAAACAGAACAGACCACACAGGAAGAATGACTTAAGCTGAGGGAGTTATTACTGGATAACTACCGAGATAACAGTTGCACTTTTATTAACTGCACGCTTCTGTCTCCTTCTTTTCCTGAACATCTCAAGTAAGCTCCTTTTCATCAGTGTCCACATGGGTCAATGAATGGACAAGACTCATGTTTTCTCACCAGTAACTGAGTAATCTATAATTCTGTGACCTATCTACAGCTACTATTGTGTTTCCAGCCTACTATAATGTTGGATGTAATTAAAGCCAGAAGAGTTTTAATGCTCTGAAATCCTAGAACTAATCATTAAAAAAACCCCAAACAAACAGCCTAAAAGTTGCCACACTTTTTTATAACTACACTGTCCCGATACCTATTGGTAGCAGGTTACGCCTGTCAGTCAGAAGTGACCACACATAGAAGAAATATCAAGAGCAGATGAGAAAACACTATACATGAAGCACTAATATATTAGCACTTTGCACTAGTCACACCCTACTAAAAAGAAATTTGATGTAATTATAAGGCTTTAATCCATACATATATTTTTTTTCTAATTGTGCACACCATGGCATGTTCAGCTAATTCACCCGGAAGTCTCTGAGGAACAGGGATTAATTAAAAACAGAATAACAGGATAGCAGACATGGGAAGGGGGCTCTAGAGATTATCTAGCCCAACTCCCCTGCTCAAAGCAGGGTCAACCACAGCAGGCTGCTCAGGACCCTGTCAAGACAATTTTAAACATCTCCAAGAATGGAGACTCCACAGACTCTCTGAGAGACTTGCTCCAGTGTTTGAAGACACTCACAGTAAAAAATTTTCTTCTTATATTCAAGTGGAACTTCCTTTATTTCAGTTTGCATCCATTGCTTCTTGTGGTTTCAACTGTGGACCACTGAAAAGAGCCTGGTTCTGTGCTCTTTGTACCCTCCCTTCAGGTATTTACAGACATGGAGAAGACCCTCCTGAGCCTGCTGAATTTCTTGCATCTACTGTGGGTGGCCAAGGCTGTCCCCTCAACCAACTTCCACATCCCTGACCAATTGCTCCTTGTTTGTTAGGAGGACTAGGAGATCATCTCTCCTTGTTGACTCCTCAATCACATGTTTCAGGAAAACATTATAATTGCACTCCAACATCCTCCTGGTTTGCTTGTGCCCTCTTGCATTGACCTTCCAGCAGATATTGAGGTGGTTAAAGTCCAGCATAAGGACCAGCACATGCAAATATGAAGCTTATTGCAGCTGTCTGAAGAAGGCCTCTTCTACTTCTTGATCAGGTGGTGTGTAGCAGACACTCACCATAATGCTGCCCGCATTGGTCTGCCCACTATTTCTAACCCATAAATTCTCAACTGGCTCATCAGCTGCCCCAAGGCAGAGCTCCATGCATTCTTCCTGCTCTCTCACATAAAGAATTCAGATGTTTGCTGCCAAGCAAAACAACTCACCCTCCTTCTCAGACTAAAAACCCATCGTAACTGATTCAGTTTAATCAATGCAAAGTCAACACATCTTTTCTGTGCAGAGTTTGACACTCTGCTTCAAGCAAAATGAGTATGATCGTGTCCACTCCCCTCAGACATTGCTCAGTTTTTGCATCTGGGCAGGAACAACCCCAGGTT